GTGTGATGTGCTTTCTATGAGCAGTCTGTACTGTACTGAGGAGAATACTGTTGGACCCGTCCCACATCCTTCAGACAGAATATGAGCTCTTGCCTTCTGGCAGACGGTACAGAATCCCCAAAACTAAACTGAACCGTTTTAAATACTCTTTAAAGGGATACTCCACTTTTTTTGGAAATAGGCTCATTTTACAACTCCCCCAGAGTTAAACTGTTGAGTTTTACCGTTTTTGAATCCATTCAGCCGATCTCCGGTTCTGGCGGTACCACTTTTAGCATAGCTTAGCATACATCATTGAAGTGGACAAGACCATTAGCATTTCTAAAAAAAAAAAAAATGACCAAAGAGTTTCGATATTTTTCCTATTTAAAACTTGACTCTTCTGTAGTTACATCGTGCACTAAGACCGACGGAAAATGTAAAGTTGCGCCAGAACCGGAGATCGGCTGAATGGATTCAAAAACGGTAAAACTCAACAGTTTAACTCTGGGGGAGTTGTAAAATGAGCCTATTGCCAAAAAAGTGGAGTATCCCTTTAAATCAAAATTTTAAATAGACTTGTACGCTGAGGCCTGGGAAGTGTGCAATAACTTGGTGTTCTGCTTGTTGTAATTTGTTTTAATTTTATTTGTTTAATCTTTTATTGGATGTGTCATGAGTGTTTATGTAGCCTGTGTGTACGTCTTTAGCTGTGTATTTATTGTCTGTAAGGGCAGCTAATACTATGCACTAGTACGCACTTGAGTCCACGACAAATTTCCCCTAGGGGACAATAAAGTATATTCTATTCTATTCTATTCTATTCGACTCCCGCGGCGCATGTGAATGGGGTTTAAAGCAAACACACGTCTCCATCACCTAAAGTGCCCAGATAATGCCAACACGTGGGCACCTGACCGCCTGGCACACACCGAACACAGGTGCTCGACCATCTGCTGTTTAGCAGAACAATGCCCTCGTCACGGGAGTCGAAAACTGCTCTCGCCTCTGAACAACAGGCAGCGGTCAGCCATCCACAGCGGCACATACAGGACTCCAGGGAGCTTTGTATTATTGAAGACAATATTATGGCCGATTAATAGAGGAAATGAGTGTGTATTTATGTGCTGTGATTGCGCTTTCTCACTGTTATGACAGGAAAATAACAGTTTTATTCGAAGGTGCTAATCAAATCACCGAATAAATGGACCGTCGTTATTAGGATGCCGGTCCAAATCACTTAATATTCCTTATTTAGTGCACTTTCATTTATTTTATTTACTGTAGTGTTGTCAGAATTACATTTTTAATCAAAATAAAATACAAAATAAGTATTAAAATATTTCTAAAATGTGCAAGTAATTTTTAACTATTATTTTTTTTTATTAATAGAAATATATTTTAAAATATCATATATCATATTTTGTTTTTGTGTATACTAAACTTTTTATTAGCCTATTATTTTAAATTCTGATCAGATTTATTATAAAAAAAATATGCTTCAAATTTGTTTGTTTTTGTGGGCAATTTAATTATAATTAACTTTTCACTCTCTTATTTTAATAGTAAAAAAATGTGTCTTTGTATAATGTTTTTTTGATCATACATTTTATCTGAATTTATTAATATATATATATATATATATATATATATATGATTAAATGTATGATTAAAAAAATAATACTTTAAAGCCAAAATAATATTCTTCATATTTGTTTTGTTTTTGTGGGAAGTTTTTATTATCATGAACTTTTTTATTCTCTTTTATTATTACATATTAGTGATCAGATTCCCTCCTGATCACGATCGAGTGACTGATTTCGGGTTCAGCCAGGGACTTTGAGTGTCCCGTTGGATCCCGCAGCGTTTGGCCGCTGAGATTTACTGGATTCTGGCTCGATCGTCCATCACGGGCGTTACCCCGGTGCATTCTGGGAGCCTTGAGCCCCGACTCGGAGAGCGTCTGTCTCTTTAGGAGGGTAAAGGTGTGAAAGAGGCAGCTTGCCGTCCCACAATCCCCTGGTGCGGACTAGGCTATGAACATGAGAATCACTCCACAGGCTAAGCATTTTAAATTTGAATATTACATTACTTATTTACGTGCCGCCCGGGCTGTGTGCTCTCTTTTTGTTTGAAACTGAGAATGTTTTAGATACAGTCCATCTGATCTCCAAAGAGAGAGGCCGTTATTAAGTATGCATGTGTCTGAAATACATGCTCGTGCTTTTTGTTTTTTCAGCCTTATCTTGAGAACAACTTTTACTAGCCTCACAATATTTAAAAGAGAGGATCTTACTGTAGTCGAAACACTTCGTTTGCTCTGTTGCATCATGGAGAAACTATTAAAACCATCATTTCTGTGTTTATTTTCCAGTCATTAAAACTGGGTGGAAAACATCAGTAATTTGCTAATCAGATATTGCCAGATGGAGCGATTTAATTAGGTTTAAAAATACAAATACCTCTTTAGTTTCTCCTATAGACACCAATGAGATTAAATAGAGAATAAGTGCAAAAGTCTTAAATCAAACGTCCGAAATCTCAAAATGAACATTTCTGATCTGAAATTCATTTTGCAACAGTATACACTGTAAAATAAAATGTTTTCATGATTTGTTATCGCAACTTTTTTTCTTTTGTCAAATCAACTTAGATAATTAATGTGGATCAGATAACTTAAAAATGTGAGTTTCCATTTATTAAATCAATGTCTTTCATTGTATTAACTCAAAATTTCAATGAACAACCAGGTAACTTACTTTTTAAGTTCAACACTAATTTATCACAGTGTACAGTGACAAGTATTGACCATGACGTATCTGTGTCTGTTTGCTGCTTTTAGGAGAAAAATGTTAAAAGTAAAAAAAAAAAAAAAAGTTAAACTTATATACAGGTGAAACTCGAAAAATTAGAATATCGTGCAAAAGTTAATTTATTTCAGTAATTCAACTTAAAATATGAAACTAATATATTATATAGACTCATTACATGTAAATTGAGATATTTCAAGCCTTTATTTGTGATAATTTTGATGATTATGGCTTATAGCTATGAAAACGTTTTCACAATATTCTAATTTTGACTTTGGGGTTTTCATAAGCTGTAAGCCATAATCATCAAAATTATCACAAATAAAGGCAAATATCTCACTTTGCATGTAATGAGTCTATATAATATATTAGTTTTACATTTTAAGTTGAATTACTGAATGAACTTTTGCACGATATTCTAATTTTTCGAGTTTCACCTGTATATACATATAAACAAACTCTATGATCAGATTTTTTTTTTATGTCATTGTCATCCTGAGGCACTCTGTATAAAAAAATTCACAGTACAACTTCATATTTCAAGTTGACTAAACTTAAAAATGTACACTTTTAAACACTTACTTTTTTTAAGTTTAAACAAAATATATATATATTTTACAGTGCATGAGGTCGAAATTGGGTGGGACTTTTCAACAAAACTCATATTGTCCCGTCTGGGAATCATCAGAAAGTCTCGAGAGAAATGTGGCTGCCGAATAAAACAAGAGAAATGATCCTTAACTACAGCGCAGACGTTTCCTTGATGGAGGGATGGAAACGAGGGGAAATGAAAGGGCAGCCGTAGATTGAGAGCGGTCTGGTTTGTGTTAGAGAGTTTGGCGTTGTTCCCATCACACCTCAGACGAGCTCACGCTCTAATGCCTCTCTGCGCCCAGCGCCAAACCTCACGAATATTAGTTATGGCAAACTTTCATAACTATGAAACCCATGAACAAGGGACTCGTGTCAAACATTGAGTCATTTGATCAGTGTGTCGAAAATGTTTTCAGACTGCTGACAGGGACAAACAAACCCGTTTTAAAGAGCGAGAGCCGCTCTTGATCTTGAAGGTTCATGGTTCTCCAGCGAATGTTTGCCAACTCGGGCTGTGCCGTTAATCCGAATAAAACCAGTCGTGATGTGACTATTGGAAACTATACGTGCGTTTGAAAGCACAACATGTGCCAACCATCGTCCCAAACTTGTAATGAGAAGTGCGTATCAACAGAAGAGGAGCTTTAAGGGTTAAAAAATAATTGATGTTTTGATGAAGAAAATAAACCTTAAATATTAGTATTTTAGAGTTAATTTGACAAAATTATTATTCTGTTATCTTTCTTAAATACTCTTTCTTTTACTGCGAAATATTTCTAGTTATGTTTCTTATTTTGTTTTTAGGAATTTTTCTATGTTTATTAAGTAATAAAAAAAAACAATAACATAAATATTAGTATTGTAATTTTACAATTGTAATGTAACATTTTTTAGTTTATTTTACAGTAAAAATTTATTACATTTAGTAGTATTTCTTATTTTAGTTTTAATTAGTGATTTTATATTTTTATTTAGTAATAATTAGTACTGTGATTTTACAATTGTAATGTAAAACATATTTTGTTATTCTATTTTTTTTCTAAAATAAATTTTTTTTATTTTACTGTGAAATATTTCTTGTAATATTTCTTTAGTTTTTTGTAATTTTTGTTTATTTAGTAATAATAACAACAATATCATAAATAATAGTATTGTAATTGCACAGTTGTAAGTAATGTAAATGTATATTATTAAATTTTACATTATTTTTCTTAAATATACATTTTCACTGTAATATTTCTTGTTTTTAGTCATTTTTATATGATTTTATACTATAGAATACACTATACTACACAGTTACATTTACATACACATACTATACAATGAAACTATTACAGTAATAATAATAGTATTTATTAGTATTAGTATTATTTTATTATATTGATAGATAATCACAAAATGTTGACCAAATTGTGCAGCCCTACAAACAAGCACAGCAAACCTGAAATTTTTTAAATCGCATTTTAAATCATAATCACAATACTGTATCAGAAAAATCGCAAAGAAAAGAGGAGTTTGTTTTGACCATCATTTGAGGAAAGGTGCAGAGAAACAGTGATTATCTGTGATTGTCTTTGCTGTTAATGTTCTGTTTAAAAGCAGTGTTTCTCTCCCCAGGCCTCCAGGGTTAGCGGGCAGCCCGGTGATCTCCGACATCTCCCTGATCCGACTGTCTCCAGGGGGCGCCGGCGAGTCCTTCCTCCCTCCGCACTCATACGTGTCTCCACACATGGAGCATTACCTGCGCTCGGCACACGCCAGTCCCACCCTGTCCATGATCTCAGCGGCCCGAGGACTGAGCCCTGCTGACGGTGAGGGGCGACCCAAACACAAACACATGCACTCAAACTTTAACTTACATTTAAATGCATGAGTAAACAGTGGAATTTTAATTTCTTTATTTGCGATTGACAGGTTTGGGGTCAGTTGAGAAATTAATTATTGTATTAAAATGATCAAAAGTGACAGTAAAGATGTTTATAATGTTACTATTTCAAATAAATACCGTTCTTTTGAACTTTTTTTCTATTCATCCTTAAAAACCGATAAAAATCAGATAATAATCAGAGCATCAAATCCTCATATTAGAGTGATTTCTGAAGGATCATGTGACACTGAAGACTGGAGTAATGATGCTGAAAATTCAGCTTTGATCACAGGAATAAAATTACATTTTACAATATATTCACATAGAAAGCAGATATTTTAAATTAAAAAAAATATATTACATTTTCCCTTTTTTTTTGATCAAATAAACGCATTCCTCTTTGAGCAGAACAGACTTTTTTCAAAAACAACCCCAAAATTTTGAATAGTATCACAAAATAAATCTATACAGTGCAACACGAAGCCCAAGAGGGTTTATTTTGCGATAATGACCGCCTGACTGTACATTATCTCGTTTTTAATAATTTATATAATAATTTTAGTTAGTTACTCCCCAATTCTGGCTGCTGATCAACACTAACACTCAGCAATGGCAGGTTTGGTGTAGTTAGTCTGAAACAGATCTGCGTTATTAGATCCTCAATTCAGCATTTCAAAACTTCACTTTTAATTATTACCGTTTTGAATGCCGCTCACAATCATGTCTGAGGTATGTGTGTGTGTGTTTGGGTTTTGGCCACATGCAAATTGTCAAACATGTGAAACTTTCCCCATCCTGCGATTTGCCCTTCGGGGGACGTTCTGGAAATTAACACGAGAAAAACGACAAGGCAGAATTCCCCGATGCTGGGCCGAACCCGACGACAGACCTCTTTCTTCAGAGCTGAATTACAATTACAGGTCGCGGCGAGCCGATCGAGTGACATATAAATCACGGTTCACAGTCTGTCAGCAGTAATGTGTTTGCACCTTTAAACTTAAATAAGCAGCACGCAGGAGATCCCAACAGCGATAAAGGCATAAAAGAGCGGCGAGAAAGAGAAATGGGGCTATTTGAGCCGAAGCGAGTGTGGATGGGTACATGTGGCCTTGAATGGTTTCCAGACACGTCGGACCAGTTTCAGCCCAGCACACACAGACCTCAGCGCTCAAACACAGGCCTGACGTTAGTGTTGGCTCGTGTTTTAAGGCCGTATTTATTTTTCAAGTTGGAATATATAGACATTAAAGCCTTTGGAATAGAATCCAAGACACTTTTTGATTGTGTTCTTTGGCAGAGATTTATTTCTATAATAAAGGAGAGACAGATACATATATTTTTGTTTTTTTTTGTCATGTTTTAATGAGGAATGGTTTTGTTGTCTGTTTAATCATAATACAGTTATACCAGCATTCACGTCTGCGTTTCCACACCATATTTCTGTCCTGATCTATTCTTTAGCATTAAACATGTAAAACTCACTCTCACTTTTAAAAGAAGTTTACTACGTGCAGATGTCAACCCTCTTCTTACTGTAGATCCCTTGAGCTAGTAAAGCTTTACTTATAATGTTAGTTAAGGTTTATTGCATCTTCATTTTCCACCGTATATATTTACATATATTTATATGCAAATTTAATTCTGTTCTGATTGGCTAACCACGATACGTCAGTATTGTTATAGAGTGCAACAGTCGGGCTCCGGAAATAAAAAGTCCATTCATTTTCTCCATAGGGAAACTTGTAAACCAGCTTTACTGGGAGCTGTGAGGTTGTTAATCGATGGTATTTGGTTCAAGCCCACAAACCTGTATGCTCTCAAAATATATATATATATTGCATATTTTGCAATAAACATAAAAAAAATCAACATTTTCAACATTGAGTATTTGTATATTTCTCCATTGTTTTTAATTTGATTATGCTGTTCGCAATGCTTCATGGGATTGTAGTTGTATCCCTCACTAAAGCTGTTAAGTCTTTATCTTTGTATTTTTGTCTGATTTTTAAAACCTTTTTTTTGCTTTAAATCAAAGTTTGTAGTGTTGTGATTCACCTTGTAGCTGATTGGCTCTGTTAATGGCTTATAATGCTTTAACAAAGACTGTTTTTTGAAATCCCTTTTACCGTAAACCGACTCAATCTCTTCCATCTCAGATAGGGGTGGACCAGTACTACTTTATTTGATTTTTTATTCTAAACTGTTTTAATTATTCTTACTTGTTTTGATTATTTTAATTTCTTCTATGTAAAGCACTTTGAATTGCCCTTGTGTATGAAATGTGCTATATAAATAAACTTGCCTTGCCTAAAAAGCAAAAAATAAATATTTTTTACAAACAAAAACTAATAAAAATGGCAAAAAACATGCAAAATTACAAAAACTGTCAAATTAAAACTGAAAATATAAAAATAAAAGCGAATTCAACATATAATTCACACTGTTTTATTTTTTTTTCATCATCATGATGTAATACAAATGTGGGCTGGTCGTATGCTAATGAGCTCATAGTTGTGATAATCATGAAGATATTTTTCAGTAAAATCCTGTTTCCGTGAATATATGACTCTTATATATAACTGTGTCTTCTCTCTGGCAGTGGCTCATGAGCACCTGAAGGAACGAGGGTTGTTCGGTCTGCCCCCTCCGCCCCCCGGCGCCACCCCAGCCGACTATTACCACCTGATGACGGGCCACAGGAACCCGTACGGAGAGTTACTGATGCAGGGAGCCGGGGCGGCTCATCTGCCCGAATACTTCACCCCGGTCGACGGTGAGTTACAGTCATATCTGTTTAACTGTGTTAAGAATTTAAACATAATATTTGTTTCACATTTAGATCCAGGGTAATACTTATGTGTGGCTTCAAAGGACTTTATAAACACCCATTTCTCTTCGATTCTTACACCAGCAGACAGTAAAATAAATAAACTCCCTCATGTTCAGCATCCGCTCGCAGCCGCCTCTCTAAACACTGGCGGGAAGCTTCACACTGGTGATGTTTATGTTCGTTCTCCATTCTGTCATCCAGAGCTTCCTAAGTTAGGACAATAGAGCGATCCAAATGATCCATATCTGCTTGTTTAGTAAAATTAGCTATTAAAGTCCATGATAGGTCATCAAGATAAAAAGTGTTTTACGCCTTAACTAACCAAGTGATGAGCAACAGGGCATTTAGTTGATTGCCTCGCTCCGCCCACTGTAACATCTCATTGGTCCAAAACCTGGCTCCTCATTATCTATACATTAAACATCAGATATGTTTTGAATGTATGTTATTATGCCGTGTCATGCAGCAGTTTCATGTTCAGTGTGTGTGGACTGAACTCATCACTTTACACCGGGTTTTGAAAAGAACATTTGTCAAGCTATATCATTAATATTGATTTATTGCTTTTGGAATTTCTGTGGATCTGAATCAGAGTAACTGAAGCATCACATTATTTACAGATGGATTATGTAGCGTTTATTTGACTTTCTCATCTGTATTTAACCCATTTGCTGTTCTCCGAATCAGTCAGAGGAAAAATACCATGACGAGACTTGTGTGAGTAATAGTCCAGAGAGAGACGAGGTGTTATTTCAAACAAACACATGGTGATATACAGTAGGCCTCTTCCTCTCTATAGAGCAAACATTTGCTCTTGCGTCTCCTTCAAACAATCAGAGTTGAAAAACAAACACTGTCTGTTCGCTCTCCCTCTTTAGCATGGCGTATCGGGTGTGTGTGTGCGCACAGATCTCGGGCTTTGCTAAAGCAACATGAATGAATAGCTCATTTAGCTGGGCTAACTCCATCTGGCTTTGATCTGTGTCCCGTCCGGAGCCGCTGATGCTTCCCGACAGCTTTTACGCAGATGTGTTTGGATGCTGACAGTGGAGCGTGTCCCACGCTTTGACGGGAAACAGCATGAGTCAGTTACAAAGACAGATAGAAAGAGAATGAGAGATATGATAAGTCAAGCAAAGCCAGTTAGAAAGTTGTAAAGAAACTTCAGAGTTTAAAAACACATTTTCTTTGGCTATATGCCGTTTAGTCACGATTAACCCAAAGTACCCAGTGGTACTGTAACTCTATAAACAATGGACCAGCCAGAGTTACTGTAACAATCAAAAATGTTGCAGTTAGTAGCAATCATTAACTCCAAACATATTGGAAATGTAGAGAAAATTACCACAATTGCCAACATTCAGCATAAAGTCATATGGATGTTGCGTGTAGACTTGTTTTTGTAGTACATTTTTTTTTGTTATAGCGCCACCTATTGGTGGAAATTGCTGAAATTTGGTGTGTCATCTCAGATTGTCCTGGTGTACATGTGTACCAAATTTTGTGAAGTTCTGACATTGTCACATCCAATAAGTCATATTTGTTCATATGAATTTAGCTACATGCAAACACAAACAGTGCATGGCATCAAAACATCATTTTATGACATCATGTTAAGCTCTGTCCTCTGAGGGGTGGCGAGATCATGTTAATAGTTTTTTTTTCCGCTGAGGTGAAAGCGTAAGATCATGGCATCTTTGTAAGGCCATTAAGACCATGCAAATTCCACCACAGAACGCGTTCTGCAGACGTACACAGGCCCAACGTCTGCTTTCAGTCATAGATCAGTAGCTCCAAAAGATTCCTGTAAGACATTGACGTTGTAAGTTTTAGGTTTGTTTTTCTTTGTCTTTTGTACTGTATGTTTAGCATCAGTTCTCTCTGGATTTGGGTCCTGAGGCGGCTCTTAGCACTAAAGATGTGTTAGGAGCTCCAACGAACGCCTGAACATGACAGCAAACCATTAGCTCATGCTAAGAGTAATGACCCTCACTGCAACAAAGCTGAGGGATTATTTATTAGCGCTGTGGTCTGTAGGGAACAAGTCCACACACACACACACACACACACTCACACACAAATAAATGATTTGTGTAATCCTGCTTGTGTTGGCACTGCTCGTGATGAAATCATTATGGACGTCCGGTTGCCAGAGTCTCTGGATACACACACACGCGCGCGCACACACACACACACACACACACACACACACACACACACACACAGGGTCTAATGCTTAGCACCTGTTGAGTTAGCTGCAGTTGTCTCAGGAACTCTCCACTGAAACAGCAAACTGCTCAGAGCGTCTTTAGTCTGAAACATTCTCTACACAAGTTATCACTACATTAATGATAAAGCATCCGGTTTATTGGCGCAGACATATTAAATGAAAGTCTTTTGAATCCCTGTTGATGTTACCAAGACAATCATGAGCCATTGACACACAAACATACACTTATTATTCACACACATTTCTTTTTGAGCCAGAATCGGTTCTGTAAATTACCCACATTAAACAAAGTCAAGTCTGCAATCGTTTGATTGTTATCTGGGTAATTACGGTAATTTATTGGGAAGGATTAATTATCCCAAATCAAATCAAAATGAGGTCACGCTGAGTTTGAGATGGGGACGATTAAGACAGTTTTTACCTGACCGGTTTATTTTTTTCACTACTCCTATTCAGCCTTTAACACAATAAACACTTTAAACTAATTTTCAGAATACTTTGAATTGATTTTTCTTCTTTGTATTTTTTTTTTTTTTACATACAGTATTACCAACACATAAGTAGCTGTAGAAACACTATTTTAAAATAAAATAAAATATTTTATTTTAAAATTATATTATAAGTATTATATTTATATATTTTTATATATATTTATATATTTAAGTATTTTTTATTATTTTGAAAAAGTTATTTCTTTAAAATTATATTTTATTTAAAGTAATATTTTAAATATTTTTATACGAATTCTTTTTAATATAAAATCTAAATATAATGTTATATGATATTTTAAATATTTTTTGCATAAAGTTTGTTGTGACTTCTTCACTATCTTTGTAATACTGGAGTGAATCCGGTTTCCCAGTGAAGTCACGTTATCCAAGTACAGTATATTCTGTTTTCCACGGCCAGGAATCAATCTTGAGCACTTATTGATGGGGTTCGGCTCTATCCTGCGGAGCCGTGTGTCGCAGAGGGTGTGTGAGAGCATCGATCATGCAGTCGTACTCCACACTCACACTCACACACACACACACACGCTTGTGAGGTTCCTAAAATAGCTCAGCAGTGAACGAAACTGGAAATGACACTCTGAGATTCTCCTGAGTGAGAGAAAGAGAATCAAACTGAAGTATTGATCACTTGAACTGGTGTTTTGCTGGTGTCATGCTGGGAGGATCTGCTGAAATGACTGGACAGTTTCTATGCTATTCAGAATTATGGATTTCCTGATGGATAAAAAAAATATTATAATTATAAAAAAAGAAAAAATAGCATTGATGAATTGCGCAATAAACATTTATTTAGAAAGTAACGTTAATTTTACTAAAAATTACAGAATTTTACACTGTCCATCTCTCCGCTCTCAGATGCATGCATCAAAACTACAGACCATTTTCCTTGGCTATAAGCCGTTTAGTCCCAATTAACTCAAAGTACCCGAGTGTACAGAATCTTTATAAGCATTGGAGCATCACAAATATTGCAATTAGCAGCAATCATTAGTTCAAAACAGATGTGGGACAGCTGGCAACTTTCAGCATAAAGCCATATGGGTGTTGCAGTGTGTGCTTTTGAGGTAAATTTTGGGGTAAACTTCATCACAGTTACAGTTTTAAGTTTTTAAGTTATAGCGCCACCTATTGGTGGAAATTGCTTAAATTTGGTGTGTGCACTCAGACCGCCCTGGTGTACACGTGTGCCAAATTTTGTGCATTTCTGACATTGTCACATCTTTAAAAACATTTTGTTAAATACAGATTTGTAATAATTTGCATTGATTAAATTGCACAATAAACGTGTTTAAAGAGTACAGGTTTGATTGCATGTTATGTGTTTGCATGTTCCACAGTGTCACGGTTTCCCAGCCCTCGTCTGACGCCCAGGTTGAGTCGAAAGCGAGCGTTATCCATCTCTCCGCTCTCAGACGCCAGCATCGACCTGCAGACCATGATCCGAACATCACCCAACTCTCTGGTGGCCTACATCAACAACTCCCGCTCCAGCTCGGCCGCCAGCAGCTCGTATGGACACCTGTCTGTCGGAGGAATCAGGTACTGGATTCATCTATCAGTGGCTACGGTTACATGCAAACAAATAATCCGTTAGTAATCGTATTGACGGCTCCATCGGACTGAAAAGCCTTCATGTAAACACCTTAATCGATCCGATTGAGCTCGATCTGAATTAAATTTCGATCGGATTGAGGCCACATTTAATTCATTACATTTTACATTTATATAGCGCTTTTCTCGGCACTCAAAGCGCTTTACATAGTCCTTGTTTTTTCCGATTGTTCTATTAAAAGTCTCCTGAAGATATCTCCTTCGTCGTGCGCTTTAATACAGCCTCATCTCGTGACGAGTGTGTCATCGTCACATACAGCACATGGCCATCTCTTCCTCTTCTGTTCCAGCCCTTCGTTCCCGTTCCCACACTCCATTAATCCGGTGGCGTATCAGCAGCTGTTGTCCCAGCAGCGAAGCCTCAGTGCGTTCGGACACACTCCACCGCTCATACCGTCGTCACCCGCGTTCTCCAGCAGGATCCCACTGAGCCTGTCCACCCTGCCCACACACACCGCCAGTGACATCGACAGCAAGGTAACACACCTGATCACTGACACACCGACACAACGACACTCAGTCTCGATTTAGAGAGTTTATTAGAATGCTTTTTATCAATATTAAAGTATAAAAAGTGCTATACAAATGATTATTATTATTATATTATTGTATTTATATGGCACCATTTATATATATATTTATCTATTCAAATAATAATAATACATTAAAAACGAATATTTTATTATAATATTATTTAGAGTACTATTCTTACTATTAATAAAAATAATAATTATTATTATTGCTATTGTTATTATTAAAACGGTTTTGCACCTTTTATACATAATTTATTTTTGCTATACAAATAATAATAATAATACGTTAAAAATATTTTATTGTAATATTATTTATAGTACTAGTGCTACTATTTATAGCAATTTTTATTATTAATATTGTTATTATTTGTACAGGCACCTTTAACATGTACAAATAATGTATCTATAAACTGTGCCATACAATAATATTAATAATAATTAAAATAATTTTTTTACAATCAATTGTTATATTATTTATAATTTTACATTTATAGAACTTTTATTTATAGAACTATTATCATTATTGTTATTTGTATAGCACCTTTTAATGTATAAAATAATTTATAAATAAATGGTTCAATACAATTAATAAAATAAATATTAATAATTTCACAATAAACTATGATTATATTTCATCATAATATATGTATAATAATATTTAGTATTAGTAGTAGTTGTAGTATCTGTATAGCACATGCATAAAAAGAATATGTATATGCACTATATAATACATAATATGTTTTATGGTGGTATACAAAAAACAATAATAACATAAATAGATGCTTTATAATAACAAATATTTTTCGAGAAATTATTATATTTTATTGTAGTGTTGTTATAACCATAATAATAATAAACTATTAGTATTCTTGTAATTTGTAATTAATTCATCAATAATTATTTCACTGTACATTTTATGTAAAAATGAATGAAAAGAGCCTGATTATCATTAGAGCTGAAGCTGAAGCTACACACACACACTCACACACATGAAGCAGTTTCTCTGTGGTTGCTCTTCTGTCAGAAACACACAGCAGTTCCAGACCGCACATGGACTCTGTCAGCACTTGGGGTCGAGGAGAGCGCTGCTAAACACTGCGTTCACATGTCACGTGCACTCAGTCGCCTACTGTCTCGATGCTCACTTCTCTTCCTTCTTCTCTCTTTCTTTAGAACACAAATGGAGACTCTGCAGTCAGCAGCACGGTAAACCCCCTGAACCACAAGAGGTCAAAGGTCAAGACAGAGTTGGACGGGCCGCGACCTGTGTCGCCGTGCTCTCCGGTAAGGGACCGCGACCTATTGTGCTCACTTCTAAGTCAACATCTTAAATGAAATGTAACCTCATTAGTAAGCGATCTGAAGCTCTCTACATAGGCAGACGCTCCACACGGCACACACGTACTACGCCTTGGAGTCCTCAAGTGAAGGTCCACACACTAATATTGTGTAGATTTGACACAATAAAATAGAAAATAGATTTTATTATATTAATATATAATATATAAATATTTTAAATAATCACTGCAACTTAAGTATTATATTATAGTCTAGTATTAATATAAAATTGAATTTATTATATTAGTGTGCTAATATTAATATAAATAAATCAATATAATAAATATTACTATTATTATTATTATTGTATGGCACCTTATACATAATAATTTTTTTATATATTAATACATTAATGTAATAAAATATATAATAATAATATAAAATTATATAAAAATATTATTATTTGTATAATACGGAAGCGTATTGCATTCACTTGAGGAAAAAAAATCTACTCTGTTTTTCTGAATTAACGAGTTAATATCTCAGAATTATGAGATACATTTTTCTTGAAAAAAAGTTTTTTCGAATTAATGAGTTACTCATAATTTTGAGATAATTAAGTCATTAATTCAGAAAAACAGAGCAAAAACTTTTTTCCATGAAAAATTATCTCGTAATTCTGAGATAATTATCTCGTTAATTCAGAAAAACAGAGTAGATTTTTTTCCTCAAGTGAATGCAATACGCTTTCGTATTATACAAATGATAATATTATAATAATAATATTTTTATATAATTTTATATTATTATTATATATTTTATTAGATTAATGTATTAATGTAAATATTATTATTATTATATTTGTATGGCACCTTTTATACATAATTTATTTTTATGCTATCATTTTCATTTTAACATTACTATAAAATATATTTGATTGTATTATATATTATATATTTATATTATAAGTGAATATTAATATAAAATACATGTATTATATTAATATATAATATTAACATTATTAACCGATGTTTGTTTACAGTGTATTTTAGTATAAAACTGTTTTAAAAATAGCTATAAAAAATAAATATTAATATAAACTTGAAATTTGAATAAATATGAAATTTATTATAGCTAACTATTTTTGTTCTATCAATATTTTTCATTATATAAAATATATTTAAAATCAGCATGACTCCATATTAGATTTCCTCTCTAAGGCCAAAGCAATGCATTCTGGGATTGCGTTCTCTGTGAAATCCACATATCTGGCTTGAGATCATCTATGATGCCGCTCACAAGGTTATGGAACAGAACTTGACGGAAAACGCAAAGAAACAACAGACGGTGAATGGCCCGTTCGTCCTGTTATGCTGAAAAAACTGTGGATTTTTCTCTCTGAATTGCTTTGTACTGATCAATGACAGGCCATGAGGCCCTCGGGAGCCCCGCGGTCCCCTGACCCGCTTCTTCACACGCACCGCGCGAGAAAAACTCCAGCTGATAAGAGCTTTACACGCGTTGGCTCGCTCACTCGCCGCGCCGTGTAAACTGTGCCAGAGCACTTCATTTTAATGAAATATTGGCCGGCCGTTATTGTCACCTGAGAGTTTTTTCTCTCTCTCTTTCTCCTTCGCGCTGCTCATCTTTTGACAAATCTGCGGCTGCTCTTGGCGGTGAGGCAGGTTGGCTCTTGATGCATGGGGAATAAGGCGGCTGCCGTCGTCTTGGGGCCAGCAGAATTGATGAAGATAGCTCACAGGGCAGAGATAAACATGCTGCAGTCAGCATGCTGTGTGTGTGTGTGTGTGTGTGTGTGTGTGTGTGTGTGTGTGTGTGTGTGTGTGTGTGTGTGTGTGTGTGTGTGTCTCCGCTACCCACAGCAGAGCACGGTCCGATTGCTCTTAACACCACACACGTGTCCCTACAAGCGCACAATTAATGTTTCGTCTTCATACTACCATTCTGGCCGGGTAAATAATACATCAGCGTTGAGGGAGTGCTGTTATAGAGCGTTTGTCTGTCCAGTGGGCCGATGTGAAGGCATTGATGTTTGGTTTAATATAGGTGTGATGCCAATGTCAAATTGACATGGAATAGTGACGACAGCTGACGTTGATATTTTGTTGGGTTTAAGTCGTGGTATTAAAGGGTTAGTTCGCCCTAAAATGAAAATTCTTTTATTAATTACTCATCCTCTTGTCGTTCCAAACCCATAAGGTTTTTGTTCGTCTTCGGAACACAAATGAAGATCTTTGTAATGAAATCTGAGAGATTTCTGTCTCTCCACTGACAGTCTATGCAACTACCACTTATAAGCTTCAAAAAGTTCATAAAGAGATTGTAAAACTAATCCATTTGAATTGAGCGGTTTAGTCTAAATATTCTGAAGAGACTCGAGGAATGATGAACGAGATATGATTATTCACATACCGTATAAACATTAATGAGTGGACATAAACAAAAGCTCAACCGAAGCTGCTTGGCGCGCGAGAACAACCCTTTCAGAAGCTCAAACGTGATGCGTAACACGAGAATGAACCTCATTGGTTCTTGCAGAAGCTCAAACGTGATGCGTAACATGAGAATGAACCTCATTGGTTCTTGCTGAAGCTCAAACGTGATGCGTAACATGAGAACGAACCTCATTGGTTCTTGTTGAAGCTCAAACGTGATGCGTAACATGAGAATGAACCTCATTGGTTCTTGCTGAAGCTCAAACGTGATGCGTAACATGAGAACGAACCTCATTGGTTCTTGCAGAAGCTCAAACGTGATGCGTAACACGAGAACGAACCTCATTGGTTCTTGCAGAAGCTCAAACGTGATGCGTAACACGAGAATGAACCTCATTGGTTCTTGCTGAAGCTCAAACGTGATGCGTAACACGAGAATGAACCTCATTGGTTCTTGTTGAAGCTCAAACGTGATGCGTAACACGAGAATGAACCTCATTGGTTCTTGCAGAAGCTCAAACGTGATGCGTAACACGAGAATGAACCTCATTGGTTCTTGCTGAAGCTCAAACGTGATGCGTAACACGAGAATGAACCTCATTGGTTCTTGCTGAAGCTCAAACGTGATGCGTAACACGAGAATGAACCTCATTGGTTCTTGCTGAAGCTCAAACGTGATGCGTAACACGAGAATGAACCTCATTGGTTCTTGCAGAAGCTCAAACGTGATGCGTAACACGAGAATGAACCTCATTGGTTCTTGCAGAAGCTCAAACGTGATGCGTAACACGAGAATGAACCTCATTGGTTCTTGCTGAAGCTCAAACGTGATGCGTAACACGAGAATGAACCTCATTGGTTCTTGCTGAAGCTCAAACGTGATGCGTAACACGAGAATGAACCTCATTGGTTCTTGCTGAAGCTCAAACGTGATGCGTAACACGAGAATGAACCTCATTGGTTCTTGCTGAAGCTCAAACGTGATGCGTAACACGAGAATGAACCTCATTGGTTCTTGCTGAAGCTCAAACGTGATGCGTAACACGAGAATGAACCTCATTGGTTCTTGCTGAAGCTCAAACGTGATGCGTAACACGAGAATGAACCTCATTGGTTCTTGCAGAAGCTCAAACGTGATGCGTAACATGAGAATGAACCTCATTGGTTCTTGCAGAAGCTCAAACGTGATGCGTAACACGAGAATGAACCTCATTGGTTCTTGCTGAAGCTCAAACGTGATGCGTAACACGAGAATGAACCTCATTGGTTCTTGCAGAAGCTCAAACGTGATGCGTAACATGAGAATGAACCTCATTGGTTCTTGCAGAAGCTCAAACGTGATGCGTAACACGAGAATGAACCTCATTGGTTCTTGCTGAAGCTCAAACGTGATGCGTAACACGAGAATGAACCTCATTGGTTCTTGCTGAAGCTCAAACGTGATGCGTAACACGAGAATGAACCTCATTGGTTCTTGCAGAAGCTCAAACGTGATGCGTAACACGAGAATGAACCTCATTGGTTCTTGCTGAAGCTCAAACGTGATGCGTAACACGAGAATGAACCTCATTGGTTCTTGCTGAAGCTCAAACGTGATGCGTAACACGAGAATGAACCTCATTGGTTCTTGCAGAAGCTCAAACGTGATGCGTAACATGAGAATGAACCTCATTGGTTCTTGCAGAAGCTCAAACGTGATGCGTAACACGAGAATGAACCTCATTGGTTCTTGCTGAAGCTCAAACGTGATGCGTAACACGAGAATGAACCTCATTGGTTCTTGCAGAAGCTCAAACGTGATGCGTAACACGAGAATGAACCTCATTGGTTCTTGCTGAAGCTCAAACGTGATGCGTAACACGAGAATGAACCTCATTGGTTCTTGCTGAAGCTCAAACGTGATGCGTAACACGAGAATGAACCTCATTGGTTCTTGCTGAAGCTCAAACATGATGCGTAACACGAGAATGAACCTCATTGGTTCTTGCTGAAGCTCAAACGTGATGCGTAACACGAGAATGAACCTCATTGGTTCTTGTTGAAGCTCAAACGTGATGCGTAACATGAGAATGAACCTCATTGGTTCTTGCTGAAGCTCAAACGTGATGCGAAACACGAGAATGAACCTCATTGGTTCTTGCTGAAGCTCAAACGTGATGCGTAACACGAGAATGAACCTCATTGGTTCTTGCTGAAGAAAAATTGTCTGTTGATTACTCTATATATTAACTTCATATTCAGTGAACAACATCACACTCACATTCGTGCTGTTGTTGTTCTGAATAGTACAACAGAAGAAAGTCTTTGAGAAGTTGTCAAGCAAATGTGCAGAAGTGTGTGCAATTGCTTAAAATGTCTTACATGTTGCTTAAATGTTGCATAATTAACTAAAAAAAATGTGACAGGGTCAATGACAAGGCAAAAATCATCCAGAACATGCTCTCGTCTTATGTACCGTCAAACATTGGATAGTGAAATCATGATTCATCAATCATTTTACTTCTAAAATTGATTCAAAACATGAAGTTAACACTTAAATGTGTTAAAATGAAATTTTACGCATATATGAATTATTTAAAAAAGAGAGCATCATATGTTTTCTGAGAGTGACTAAAAGCTGTACAGGAAAGCCCTTATATGGAGATGTGTGGGCGTGTGTTATGCAGATTACTGTCATTAGGCATGCGATCGCTCATTAACTCCACACTCATTAACAAGATTCAGAACAAATGAATGTGCATATGCATGAGTTGTGAATTAGGCTGATAAATACGAATTTTCCACACAATTAATAGTGAAAGAGACCCATTTTCTTTCTCTTGCTAACAAGCCGATCCACTGAAGAGTGTTAATGCCGTAACGTTGCTGTTCCTCAGGACCACCTGGGCGGCGCACTGGACCTGAAGGAAGACTTGGACGAGTGCAAGCATGAGGCGGAGCTGGTGTACGAGACCAACTGCCACTGGGAGCGCTGCAGCAAAGAGTACGACACGCAGGAACAGCTGGTGCATGTAAGTGTGTGTGTGTGTGTGTGTGTGTGAGAGAGAGTGTAGAGGTTTATATTACATTAAGGATAGTGAAACCTGACATCTCCTACATTGAGGGACCAGCCAGCGGTTCCCTACGAGGGAAATGGGTTAATAAACATACTAAATTATATATTTTGAAAATGTAAAATACAGAAAGTTTTATGTGATGGGTAGGTTTAGGGGTCGGGTTAGTGTGTGTGTGTGTGTGTGTGTGTGTGTGTGTGTGTGTGTGTGTGTGTGTGTGTGAGATGGGTAGGTTTAGGGGTCGGGTTAGTGTGTGTGTGTGTGTGTGTGTGCGTGTGTGTGTGTGTGTGTGTGTGTGTGTGTGTGTGTGTGTGTGTGTGTGTGTGTGTGTGTGTGTGTGATGGGTAGGTTTAGGGGTCGGGTTAGTGTGTGTGTGTGTGTGTGTGTGTGTGTGAGAGATGGGTAGGTATAGGGGTCGGGTTAGTTAGTGTGTGTGTGTGTGTGTGTGTGTGTGTGTGAGATGGGTAGGTTTAGGGGTCGGGTTAGTGTGTGTGTGTGCGTGCGTGTGTGTGTGTGTGTGTGTGTGTGTGTGTGTGTGTGTGTGTGAGATGGGTAGGTTTAGGGGTCGGGTTAGTGTGTGTGTGTGCGTGCGTGTGTGTGTGTGTGTGTGTGTGTGTGTGTGTGTGTGTGTGTGTGTGTGTGTGTGTGTGTGTGAGATGGGTAGGTTTAGGGGTCGGGTTAGTGTGTGTGTGTGTGTGTGTGTGTGTGTGTGTGTGTGTGTGTGTGTGTGTGTGTGTGTGTGAGATGGGTAGGTTCAGGGGTCGGGTTAGTGTGTGTGTGTGTGTGTGTGTGTGTGTGTGTGTGTGTGTGTGTGTGT